TGAAATAAACATGAAATAACGAGAAACTATTTTAAAAAGAAAATGTAATCAGAGTAATGAGACAAAATCGATAAATAACTGAAATAACGAGAAATATTTATTTACAACAATAAACTTATGCTAACAATAATTCGTTTCCGTCCTTGAAAACTGATCGGGAAGAGCCATGTATTTCTACCCCGCTATATTCGAAACACAGCGGTAGCCTAAAACAATGATGTATTGCAAAAGATCACCCACAGTGAACCGTGATTGGACCAGGCTGTGTGAAGCTTAAATATATAATTTCATATTCAATATATTTTTAATTTTTAAACAGCATTCATGTGTAATAGTAATAAACAAAGATAAACAATAGTATGTGTGTACAAGTTCCCATTCATAATGCCTTTATTCATAAACTAAGTTGAGGTGAGGTGAGGTGAAATTGGATTTAACGTCGTACTTGAGAATATTTCGCTAATATGACGACGTGCATGCGTGTGTATGTGTATGTGCGTGTCAAGATCAGTATTTTACTTCACTGGAAAAGTTGCTTATGAACATAAAACGGATCGCCCAAACGCAACCGGGTGGTTAGGTATATATTCGAGGGTCACGGAGTGCATGAGGGGGGTGGCCGTGTCCACTACCCAGAGTGAAAGCAGGGGGTGGCCGTGTCCACTCCCCAGGGTGAGGTAGCCGTGTCTACTCTAAAAACAAAACAAACAAAAGCAAACAAAAACAAACAAAAAAACAACAACACAAAAACGTATATATACTCACGCACACGTATATATACACCCATGCGTCCCAAAGAGGGACAACCATGCGACCCAATGAGGGTCAACACAAGGAGGGACAACAAGTCCAGCCTCAGGCATCCCAAGGAGGGATAACCAGGTCCAGCCCCATGCGTTCCAAAGAGGGAAATCCACGCCCAACCCATGAGTCCCAAGGAGGGACACTCCGGCCAAACCCAAGCGTCCCAAGGAGGGACACCCATGCACAACCCACGCGTCCCAAGGAGGGACACTCCGATCCAGCCCCATGCGTCCCAAGGTGGGACACCCTTATCCGGTCCAAGCGTCCCAAGGAGGGACACCCAGACGCAGCCCATGCGTCCCAAGGAGAGACGCTCCAACCCAACCCCATGCGTCCCAAGGAGGGACACCCCTATCCGGCCCAAGCGTCCCAAGGAGGGACACCACAGCCTCCCCCACGAGTCCCAAGGAGGGACAACCCATGCATCCCCAGGCCGAAATGCCAACAGGCGAAGGCGACCTCCAAAGCACCTAACCGAAGAAGAAGAAGAAGTGCAAGAGACAATACACGTGGTGTCGAGTGTAGACATGACGGGTGGAAGGAGTGAGCTGGAACACGTGAGTTATGCTTTAATATGTTCATAGGTAGAATTACTCATGTTTAAAGCAATGTTTAAATATATATGTGATCAAGCTTATGGATAATAGAATAATAAATGCCACACTAAGAATGTTTAAATAGGTTGTATAGTTTAAGTTGCCATGGATATAATTAATCATGTTTAAAGTCTTGATGTTGTGTATTCCGCACATTCATGTAATTTTGCCAAACGCAATCTGTGAAAAGTATTTGGTAGTTTGCGAACGCAGCCTGCGAAATGTATTTCGTAATTTTGTAACTGTGATACACAGTTCATGGTGTGGGTGTATAAACGTTAACTTTAAGATACACTTGCTACTTGTTCTCAGATGCACTTGTGAAATGTGGGTATGACCTTTCGAGGGTTTACAGTCGGAGGGACTGACGGTACAGGAGGGTGAACAGTCGTATGGACTGACGGTGGAGTGGAATGTACTGATACCACGAGGTTGAACAACCAGATGGACTAACATGACCGTGGTGGTCAGTTAGATGAACTGATTGAGCACATGTTCTAACCTGTGAATGAACTTTAATTAATTATAGTATATGAAATAGGTATTTAAAGGTCACATGCAACCAAAAAATCAAAAAATAATTAAAAAACAATTATCACTTATTCATGACATATATACATTGCTGGTTATGAAAAAAACATATAAACAAAACTATAAGCGTACAATCGCAAATCAAAAGTGCAATATTGTGTACTTCGGTTTACTTCCGAAGAAACGAAGCAGCCGGGATACCGAACCCAGTCAGAGCGGGTGGGTGTGCACTCAAGTGTAACGGCTGGTTCATTTGCAGATGCCCTCACGGGTCATCCGTGTGTGTGTATATATAGAGATGTTGGGTTTTGTAAATACATGCTCATTTTTTGTGCAAAACATTTTGCAATCAACAGACATCATAACATGTCATGTGTTCAAGTATCACACCTACCTGTCTGTGTAATTACATAATGTGACAGAGACCGAACTCGGGCCATAAATCAATGCATTTTGTTTATGGTGTATAGCCTGATTGGTGTTAAGTTCAAATTGCATGTGGTAAGTGATAGCAGCTGTGCTTTGAATATTGTCATTAGCAGACAGGCAGACAGACACACAGGTGTCAATAAAACAAGACATTGAGTTTTGTCTGTGACAACGACATATCTATATCACAGTTAGAAATTCTGTCAACGCTAAATAATGACATTGCTTTTAAGTATCGAACTGAGAAAGTGACTCGGTAAGAAGAACGTGTGGTGAAATAGACAAATGAAATTATATAAACAGTTAATTTACTGTCATAACATATAAAAAGCTCGCGCCTGTGAGATATCAACAAAACATTATGAAAATAGCTCACACCAAAGCCTTCACCGAGTATTCACCGGACAACCCATTTCCAAGCTGCGCGAACCTATTTCACTGCGCACATGCTATGAGCGCAGCCCAGCTGTTGAAACCCGTTTTCCCCAGAAAAGTCTGGGGAAATTTAGTGAAACGTTTGAACTCCGATTTCGCGCGTTTTTTTTCATCGCGTTATTTTTCATCTTTATAAGTTGAATTTGCATTTTTGACGATTTGTTTCGGTAAGTCCATACCGAAAGGTATCAGAATCTGCAAAGTTGTGTTTTACGTTGCATGTGACCTTCAAGTATTTAGAAAACCCATGAATCAATTAGTTATTAAGTAGATTAGTGTGTGTGGTGTGTGTATGTGCGTGTGCAGTGCGATTGAGAATTCATTTACTTAGTGGGATGTAAATAAAATTTGGTTCTTGTAATCCTTGTTCTGTTCTGGATTGTGACAGTGCGGCTGCTTGTACTAGCCCAGACTGAAGCTGGTTTTATAGTGTTAGCCCACTGAGATACCATGCCGTAGTGAATTCGAAGCATGAATACCCCACTCAGACACATTATACTGACTCCGAGCCGACCAGTCCTTGTTGTACCCATTAATGCCGAACGCCAGGCAGGGACCACCAAGTACCATATTTTAACGTCTTTTGGTATGACGCGGTCGGTGATCGAACCCGCGACCTTCCGCTCTCCGGGCGGACGCTCTAACCACTACACCACGGAGGCGGTCTAAACTAAGTTTAGGCCGAAATATAAATAGATTGCACACGAAGCTGTTTTCATGAACCAGCGACTGTTATACAATTTGCCTGCCAGAAAAAAATCTCGTGAACAAATATTGAAAATTCTTAACTTCGCTGCAGCAAAATAAATTACGTCATTGGGTACTGTGACATGTTCTTAGAGTTTGTGGTGATATATTGTTTCTGTTTGCTGTTTCTCCGTCGCAATAACGTTTCCCCGTGACTACACAACCCATTCCTTGTTCTTACAATTTCGCTCTCGTAAGTGAAGCGACCCTAAAATCAACAGCCCGAGCCCGACATCACTACACGATCCCTCTCTCAAAACACATGAAAACCTTTCTCAATATATACACTATTAACTTTTTAATTACTAACGGGAACGTGACTTCACACCCTTTACAAGCACTATTTCAATAAGGTAACACACTAACAATGTAGTTCGATTTGAAAACGCTCAACGACCAAGTTATAACCCGTGTTAATGGTTGCATGATATGAGCATATGTTAAACGTCATTCTTCGGTTGTCTCGAATTGTCCATGCCTGTTGAACGAGTGAGATACAGTACTTTGGTTAGCAGCCTCCCAAATGCGTATATTAAAGCATAGATTAATAGTCAAACATTGTTGAGTCGAAGGTGAAAGGATTGATTGATTGATTGGTGTTTAATGCCGCACTCACCAATATTCCAGCTATATGGCGGCGGCCTGTAAATAATCAAGTCTGGACCAAACAACCCAGTGATCAACAGCATTAGCATCGATCCACGCAACTGGGATACCATGGCTTGTGTCAACCAAGTCAGCGAGTCTGACCACCCGATCCCGTTAGTCGCCTCTTACGACAAGCATGGGTTACTGAAGACCAATTCTAATCCGGATCTTCCCGAGTCTTAGGTGAAAGAAAGAGACGTACATACTTCGAATTCTCCGTGGGTGACAACAAATGATGATTGAGTAAGGTAAAAACAGAGGAAAGCATTCACTTCGAGACAATCGTACGTTCGACACAGCAAACACCACACGTAGGAAGATTGTTTCCCAAATTTACTACAATTTATCCTAGTAAATGAACGTAGGAACATTGTTTCTCAAATTTACTACAATTTACCCTAGTAAATGAACGTAGGAACATTGTTTCCCAAATTTGCTACAATTTATCCTAGTAAATGAACGTAGGAACATTGTTTCCCAAATTTACTACAATTTACCCTAGTGAATGAACGTAGGAACATTGTTTCCCAAATTTACTACAATTTACTCTAGTAAATGAACGTTTCATCGGGAGGCCATTTGAACGTTTGAAATCTACGTATCATCTGACTCTCAGACTTGCACTCTGTGTATTTGAATATACTTATGGAAACAAATAAGGGAACACCATTTCATGGCAGTGTTCCTTTATTTATTCTCAGAGCTTCCTCACACCCTAGTAAATGAACGTTTCATCGGGAGGCCATGTGAACATTTGAAATCTACGTATCATCTAGGTCTCGGACTTGCACTCTGTGCATTTAAATATACGGAGGGAAACAAATAGGGGAACACCACTTCATGGCAGTGTTCCTTTATTTATTCTCAGATTTTCCTCACACAGCGCTCTTCAAAGCTGGTGATGAATACTGAAAAATATTAAAGGAACACTTTAATTTTCCTGTGTTCCTTTATTTGTCCTTTCAGTTATTTTAGCCAGCTACGTCCGGATTACAAAGGATTGTTCTCATAGCAAATTGATTGTCGGGTCTGTTATGTGAGTCCGTAATCCGTAATTGAGAGAGTCCGGATTATAAAGCAAGCTTTAGTGATAAATTAAGAAAAAATTTGCCGGGACTCAGAGAGTAGTCCGGATTAAGGAGAAAACCGGTTTACAAAGAGTCCGAATTTGACAGATTTCACTGTATATGCTTCATAGGTGTTAATCTGGCCATTGTTTTCGTGTGTTTTCTAACACGTGTAACAAACGTGAAGGCTGTGGATGTTGGACATGGATATCAATACCCTTGAAATCACGTATGACCAGTGTTAGGTCTGTCATATATTTTGTTAGAACAACTTATGTGACTTCCCATCCTCGCTACAAACCAATCAGACTTTACCAATCGCAATATAACTGAAGGAATTAACATCAAACGATACCGACTACTGATTAATAGAGATAAAGGCTACTTTATCCCCACTGCATACGATGAGCTCATCAATCAACCCTAGCCTCTTGTATAAACATTACTGGCTTCTACTGGCTTCTATATGTATCCCCGTTGTCCTCTGCTACCCTTTATTCACTATCATCACATTGTTAATCTTGTATACATTCTATGATCTGTGTATCATTGGCTTCCACTGGCCTCTATGTTTATCCCTGTAATCCTCTGTTATCCCTTTATTTGTTATCATCACATTATTATTCCGCCTTGCCTTGTTAATTAGTCTTGTTGTATATATATCACCTGTTCTCTCCCTGTACCATTCTCACTTGAAAACGATACAAGAACCTGTATCGAAACGTCGTTCTCTAGAATAAAAGAAGTTGTCATCCATATATACTTGTTCTATCTGACTTTCAACTTCTAAAAATGCCACTCAAAGAAGTCATATATTTCGTACACGCGTAAATGGTTGGTAATGGGAAAATGGAGTGTTACTTACATCTTAATTTAAATGGTTCCATAATATAATTGTAACATTGTCCATAATGTATTGAGATCATTAGAAGCACAATCGAAGTGATACCCATGACTGGGGACCACCATGATCGATTACGCTATCGCCACGAAATCGATCAACTTCCTACACGCAGCACTGAGCGCCACGTTAGCACTCTTGCGAGAGTAAATAAAAAGTGATTCGTTGTTTCACACAATCCTATTCCATTGTCTCTGGTTCCAGCGCAGGTCCCCTTGTGCCCATCGTACACATTTATTTACCTATATCACAATCGCCGGGCAGGAAAATGGGCAGCGCGCACGCGATTTCGTTATCCTCGTTGTGCTCCTAAAATCGTTGGTGTACAGAATGAACAATAAAAGGGAGAGGACACAACCTTGTGGGGCGCCAGTGCTGATAGGAGTGACCTCGGAATGCACGTTTTTGACTTTAACACATTGGGTTCTAGGGAAAGGTATCTCGAGATCCACCTGATGATAGAAGTGTTCACGGAGAGGTCGAGGAATTTCTGAACGAATAGATTCTGCTGTATTGTGTTGAATGCAGAGGAGAAGCCGACGAATAAGATGCGAGAGTAGGAGCGTGGTTTCTCAAGGTGTTCGTAGACTCTGTGTATGAGACTGATTGTGGCGTCCTCTACTCCACGCCGTGCCTGGTAGGCAAACTAGACACGCAGGTATATAGACAGGGTTGAATACAGACCTTACACTAATTCATTGCGCACGAACGCAACATTTGGTGAACTGTCGCCAAAAAACAGCACCTTGAAATAAACTTGGGAGAAATCGCAAGGAGAAAAAGCTGTGAGCATGTTGCACGTGTAAGTACGGGTACTAAAGCTTCATACCGCTGGGTATGAACGTCTGACAGTCCTGTTGCGAAATCACTCTAAGCTGTTCCGTATATGCGACCCTCAAGATGGCAAGACTGAATGAAGACGGTAGAAACAGAGCCATTGGACGTCTGGAAGCTGGAGAAAGTCAGTCATCAGTAGCCAGTAGTGAGGCAGAGTACCATCTCCCGTCTGTGGCAGCGCTACAGGCTCCACAACTCTACAAGAGATCGACCGAGAACTGGTAGACCAAGGGTCACAACTCCGACGCAGGACCGCTTCGTCCGGGTGTTGCATCTGCTCAACCGGACAATCAGTGCAGCATACACAGACACAGTTCCTGGTCTTCGTAGAGTATCAGCGCAACCCATCAGAAATCGCCTACGACAGCATGGGATACGACCAATGCGACCATATACAGCGCTTGCGCTGCGGCATCATCATCGTCGTGCACGTCTGTAATGGAGCAGAAACGTTCTACCATGGACCCCTGTACTGGAGGAGGATCTGGTTTAGTTATGAGTCGCGGTTCTTGCTTTATCGCCATGATGGTAGGATGCTGGTCTACAGACGGAGAAATGAACGCTACACTCGACACTGTATTCGTGAAGTCGATAGATACGACGGTGACGGTGTCATGATGTGGGCATGCATATCATTGAATGGTAGGACAGATCTGGTGCACGTGCAGAGAACTTTAACTGCTGTACGCTACCGTGATGAAATCCTCCAACGTCACCTTATTCCCGCCATTTACGCCAGGAGGAGATTTTCCAGCAAGACAACGCCAGAGCGCATACTGCACGTGTTACCGTGGATTATCTTGTCAACAACAATGTTAATGTGCTGCCATGGTCATCCAAATTGCCGGATCTCTACCCCATTGAACATTGCTAGATCTGGGATCTGGGATCTGCTAGACGCCGAAAGCCTCAACCACAGACGCTACAACAGCTGAGCCATGCATTGCAGGATGATTGGAGAAGGATTCCATAACTCCAGATTCGACGACTCATTCAGTCCATGCCCAGACGGTGCAGAGCAGTGATCGATGCTCGTGGTGGTCACACCAGGTACTGCTTTTGTCATAGTGCCGTCACAGACACAGAGCATTAAATGACTGTGTGTAGTGGTGGAAACATGTGCCTACAGTCCGTTTGAGTCAGAAACGGACCGATGAATTGCAAATGTTATCATTGTACAAATTTGCCACATAAATATTAATAGTACACATGTTTATCATTTACTAATACCCAACAGCTTTCTCATATTTGAAAATTTTCCGGATTCCACAAAAAAAGTTGTTTAAGAAACTATCATCATTTTGCCAAGTTTCAGTCGTGATTTTGTAAAGGGATTCCTTAACCAAAACCTCTATGTCACGTAATCTAAAAGTTGTGTTTGATCTGGCAACATCTCCTTTGACAATAACCCATATCATTTCAATGGGGTTAAGGTCACAGTGATAGGGTGGAAGTCGCAGAATATCGTGACCCTTACTTTTTATGAAACTGTCAACTTTGTAGAAAGGTTCACCTTTGTGGGTTTTTATGATATCATATAGCTGAGGCTTCGTTGCCTTTGAAGGCCGTGCGATCTGAAATTTGTCGAGCCATGATATCATATCACCTTTTCGACTGTTCGATGTCGGGGCTTTACTGTCGGGGTCCTGCACGCTGTAGTATGGGGCATTGTCCATTACGACAAAAGACTTCTCTGGTAGTGCTGGTACCAACTTGTTTTTAACCAAATCGAGGAAAACCGCACCATTCATCTCGGAATGGTAGTCTCTGTTATCTGTGGACTTTGCCCTGAATACCAAGTCGCAGCCTGGGAGAAAGCCTTTGCTGGAGCAACCAGCATGGAGAATGATTAGTCTTTCTTCTTTCCCTAGAGGCAGCTTTCTACGTGACCCCTTATCACCCCCATCGGGTACCCACTGACTGCTGGCAGTGTGCGAGGCATTGACACAGGTCTCGTCCAAGTACACTGGCTCAAACCCTTCCTCGCGCTTCTTCTTTATAACCCTGAGAAAATTATTTCTCAAGCGAACGATATCAGGGAGTTCACAGAGTACTGACCTATTCTCCCACGAAATTTTCTTATAACGAGTGTAAGAGTCGCCAGAGTGTGTACTTTGATACTCTGAGGTTGTGTTCTTGCTTCAAATGCCTTTTTAAAATTTTCAGCGACATGTATTTGTTTTCAGAATAGAGCTTGTTGATAGACTGCCTTACAAGGTTCTTTTGAAGGTTGTCCAAATGTTTTAATTTGTGTGATTTTGACACGACCCCTACCTGCTTCGCATCACCCTCACAATGTTTGTGTTCCAGAACATTTGTCAGTACCCTTGCTGCCCGCTTACGGAATTTATTAATGACATAAAATGGTTTGCCCCTTTCGGCTTCAGCACGGAAAAAATCGTACACTTTAATCATCGACTGTTTCACGTCAGCATTCAACTTCATTTTTCATCAGGCATGTGTATCCCGTGCACGACGAGATAGTGGCTGTTCCGTTTCTGCAGTTTCACCCCGCCGCGACAGATAACAACTTTTGCGTTTTCAATGATGATAGTTTCTTAAACAACTTTTTTGGAGGAGGAGAAAATTTTCAAATATAAGAAAGCTGTTGGGTATTAGTAAATGATAAACATGTGTACTATTTATATTTCTGTGGCAATTTTGTACAATGATAAAATTTGCAATTCATCGGTCCGTTTCTGACTCAAACGGACTGTAACCCTGTGTAAAATTTTGTTGTTGTACATTCTTTATTTATTGTGTAATCCGATTTTATAAAACACGTAACTGTTAAGTGATATTTTGGTTATGCGTTTCTTTTTTTGGCCAGTGTATATTATTGTTATGCATAAGAGTGAGTAAGTTAAGTTTTATGCCACTTTTAGCAATATTCCAGCAATATCACGGCGGGGACACCAGAAATGGGCTTTACACATTGTACCCATTCGGGGAATCGAACCCAAGTCTTCAGCGTGACGAGGGAACGCCTTAACCACTGGACTACCCTATCGCCCCGTTTTGCATAAGAATAGTAATTAGATGCAAATTGTTATTTAGACGCCTGGGTCAACAACTGTGCTTAACTAACGGCTTATATAATTATATAATATTCAGAGACACTTGCTTAATAAAGGGATTCTGCACTACAGTTGGCTTTGGTGTAACGGAACATTAAATGATTCAGGGACTTTAAAGGAGTGTAACAGAAGTGCATGAATCATATTCTCAATGGCCAGAATGGAAGATTTTTTTATTTTATTTTATCTTATTTATTTATTTATTTAATTCTTGGGGTCTTCGCAAGGTCTTCATTTTTGTCTTTGCTCTGGAGCATGCTGAAGCCATTCGTTCATTGTCCAGTAAAGTCTTATAGTGTAGCAGCTTCTCGCTTTCCCATGAAATTCCAACAGAGTGGACAAGAATACAGTCCTCTTCGTCAGACACCACAGGCGATGTCAATTCTGGGGTTAGGACTGCAGCCACCTTCTGTTTTCTTTTCTCAGTCCAGTTGATAGTACTAGATTCATCGGGCGCTGTTGGAGTTTCTGCAGGAAAAATACAATTTATGCATTCTGAAAGTTATGTCCAACATTTATTCTTAAGAGCAGCACTTGGTCTAATTAGATAATTTTAATACAGTTATGTTGTGGTGTGATAATATGTAGCGCATCATGTCAGTTAAATGACTAAGGTTGTTTCAAACTCTGGTGTCAGGAAGTGTATAAACCGGTACAAATGGTATTATATAGTCCAGTTTCAGGAACTTACAGATCGGATTGTTTTGTCTCTTTTAGCATCTCCAGTGTGATTTTCGTTCTTTCCTGTAATTTGCCATGTCGGTGGTCCCTCTTGCTCTTCCAGGTTCCCCTAAAGGCATCTATTAAGACAAGCAACTGCGTTCATTTTGATTTTTCCAATAATATATTATTACAATCCGACAACCCTTATTTTGATTATTATCATATTCACCATATATTAAACCAAGTAATAAGTAATTGTGTTATATGCATTACTGTGAGGGTATCAGAAGTTTTCTATTAACATGGTCAACATGATTAAGTAGAAATTATGCACTACACAAAGATTTGGTATGCTATGTCAATTCTACTAGATATTACTAATTGACAGAATGAAATAATTAAGATGCTAGATTAACCCAACTGTGAACAAAAAACGAGTTGATGACAATTTTAATTTTGGTTTGCATTTATGTGTAAAATGGCGGAGGCAATGACATTCGTAATCTTATAAAACCCAACATATATATTATTATCATGTCGAGCAATAATAAAAGTTGGAGAAAGTTATTTTAGCTGAAATAAGTCCGTTTTAATGGATTTTCAAGGGACTCCACGAACTTTTCCATGATTCTTCTCGCATCAGTTTAAAACATAAAGAGACACACATTTGGATTATGAACATATGTCGATTGATAATATTTTCCACCTAATTATCATGAACTACTTATTTCATCAATATTTGTTTCTTTGCTGCATATTACTATTTCAGACGCAACAAACAGGTATATTTTAATGGGGAACACGGAAAGCGTACTTGTCTTATGGTTATATCTTATGGTATCAACAATAATGTTGTTTTTTACAGATTTCACACCAAAATGCAATGTCCACATTAATAACCGTGAGGGAAATCGAAATGCGAGCGAACCGTTACTGTTAAATAACGTTGCTACCGAAAACGTTTAATTCGATGCAAACTGACTGCTATGATAATTTCATCTGAAACCAACCTGACAAGGGCGGGGTACTGCTAATTTCTCTGCCCTGGGTTTCCGTTGGGATCGCTCAAGTTTCCGGATCCTCAGTTCCAAAGCTTCGATTGTGAAGTATGTTGCCATGTCTCAAGAAGAATTGTATAGAGACTGCCATTTCTACTACCTTACTCTCATAGACCTTACTTCAAAACAACAATTACGAAGTTTTTCCAATCTCACGTACAAGCACGTTTGAACAAAGATGGCGGCATTTCAAACAAAGATTTATGGGTGCTCAATTATGTTTTTTAAATTCTATTGTAAACATGCCAATAGTCTGCTTACCCTTCACAGTTTTAGAAAAAACACTGATAACTGCAATATGTGTTTATGTAAATTGTTTGTTTTTACAATGACCATCACATCCCGCGGGCCTTATTCATTCCGAATCAAGCGCTTCCGGTTACGTGGTCTGGCTGCCAGGGGGGCAGCACCTGCTCCATCGACCCGGACGGACACAGGGACTGGGCAGCTGTCTACCTTGGGAGAATTTCTTCAACCTAATCAATGAAACAATAAGAACGGTGGATGTAGTTCTAGTCTGATTGTAATAAAGAATTGCAGCAGTGTAAGCTTTTTCAGATTTTCTGATGCGTCGATGGTATGATGACCGATCCAATTTGATCCTATTTCTGTGTTTTTTACCTCGATATTTAATCATGTCGTGAAACAACGTGATGTCTGATGACCTGTTGTATTAAAACGCATTTGATGTATTGGAATCCGTAAAGTAAACCATCCCCACTTTGCCATTGCAAGATTTACTTGCAATAAATAGGTATTTAGGTATACACACTTTTTAACTTTAGTACACAGCAAATGCTGTATTTCTTATGCAACAATGAAGTTCCGTTCATATCCTCAAAACAGCGTCGACCCCTAAGTGTTTTAGGCAATTAAAATTGAATGCAATACAGCGATCACTACTCCATTTCTGTAACCCTTGTTTGGTGATATAGACCTACACCTGTTTATTTGTCATCATTCAATTCATGGTCAAATTAATGAATTTATAACAGGTATAATTAGTGGTAACATCACTCAGATTACCCGACATAGATTCCCATTGAGCATTTCTCATGTCTACACTAAATATTCAACATTATAAATTAAGGTCTTATGTACCACATGTTATGTAATAAATGCATGGAGGTGCAGCAAAAGGAATTATCAACTGAGTTATAAAACTAAACACAGATGAAAGGATTAAACGATAGCACGCTAATGGATTTATTACGTTTATCTTGCCCAACGGATATGTCAAAAGGTAGGGTTTATGTTTGTAGAGTTACTAACCTATACTGAATACACCCACATTCTGTCGTGTAAACACAACGACCTTCCTTCAAGGATTAATCGACAATACGTTGATCGCTCATGGGTTTTTTTAAAAAGAATTCTGGACATTATGTAAATATTTGTCAAGTGTGTTATCTGAGGTGAACATACACCAATGTGAAAAAAACTGAAACAAAATCACGTGACACGAAACAGTTTTTTGTCAGCTGCAGATGAATGGCATATCGTTCCTTATGTGGATATTGATGGATACATTCCTCGAACAAGATAAGGGAGCAGGCCAAAAGGGCCAAAATTGGAAATGTCAAAAGGGCCAAAGGAAAGTCAAAAGGGCCAAAGGAAAGTCAAAAGGGCCATAGATTTAAGTCAAAAGGGCCAAACTTTTAGAAAAAAGTAAGATTACAAGAAATTCACTACATGTTGTTGCAGTAGTTCTAATCCTAAACATCCTAAACGTATCAGAGTGCCTCAGTGTTGTTTATTTTAAAAATCTCAGAGTGGTTAATTGTTTAGGCCTACCTTTAGAATACAGCACCACAAACTTTAAAAATACGTCATAATACCCTTTTACGTAATGTAATGTGATTTTGTTCGAAAGCACGTTCTCGATACAATGCCCTATGACGCCTGCATGGCAACACGGTTGTCTGGCTCAGCGAGTGCGTTTAAGCTCCGCTCACTGGTGTTTCATTTCTACGAGCTATGTCATTGCATAAGCCCAACGATGTTGAGAGTTTCCAGTAGTTGTATACCGGCGGATGCGCAATATTTTGCAAGCACCAGTTTGAAATATTTTTCTTTTTTCACTAATACGCTCATATTTATTTGTATTGCGGGCTGCTGAGGTGTTATGTTTTGTGTATTTTGTATTTTGTAATTTTTTAAATTTACATATATATTTTTGTCATTCAGTAATTTGCACCATTACATAGAAAAGTGTTTTATTAGTATTTTTTCGAAGCGGTAATAATGCATTACACTAGACACGTCAGTCGTGTTTGTGCCGGTTCGGTCAATGCATTCTATTTATTAGGATTAATTCAAGGGATTGGGGTTAGGGTTAGGGCTAGGCTTAGGGTTAGGGTCCTAATGCAATATAGTAGGTACATGTCCGGTGGTTCGGTCAATGCATTCTATTTATTAGGATTATTTCAAGGGGTTAGGGTTAGGGTTAGGGCTGAGGGAGGGTTTAGGGGTTAGGGTTAGGGACCTAATCCAATATAGCAGGTACATGTCCGGTGTAATACGTGAGTACCATTTGTTGTTTTTCTTTTTTGCATTTTAATACTTTTTTTCCACACAAAAACGGGAAACCAAAAACGTCGAAAGTACATTATGAAATGGGTTAATGTAGAAATTTTGGGCTAATGGCAATTGGCCTGGAATTTGCACTCAAGCCTATTTCACACGCAACATAAATTTTGTTCAGTAATGATTCGAAGGCTAACTCACCCTCGTGCCGTCACTGCACATGCTCATGTCTCCCTCGTTCCTTAGTGCGATCCACATTATCCTTACAGTGTTCCCTACATCACTTTTCTGTCACAAAATCACCGATTTATATAAAAGCGCGTCATTCATGCATGCACCGTGAAATCTACGTCTGACGCCTGACGTCAACAACCCTTTTCAGTTTGAGGCATATCGGCTCATTCCACGCCACACGTTAATTTGTAGATTACGGAATGGGACGAGGGACATCGGTGTGCGAAAATGGCATCGGACACCATTCGGCAATTGTCCGTGAAGAATCCGTTCAAATCACGCGATGACTCGATAAAAGTCTCACCCTGTAGCATTCGCGGTAATTGTCCGTGACCTACGGCAGAGATCGTCCTCACGAGACTCTTTCCGTTTCATTTCCTGTTTTGACGTCAGTCAGGAATGACAGCAAAAATAAAATTTTGCGGAAACCTAATGGATGCAACAATGTAGGACGTAGCTCAGTATCGGTGCTAGCATGTCGAAACTAACAAAATGTTTCCGTCAGGAAGGTCGCGAGTTTCCATTTAGCGTCCGAAACATTCATCACAAACTTGGTTGCGTTGTTCTAAATGACTGGGTAATGTAGGACCTACGAAACTGACAAGATGGGTTTCAGCTTAGATGAAATGGAAGTTGTGGTGCTGTTCCATTCTAAATTTATTGTTACACTTTGCTGGTTTTAGTGTACATTTGTGATATACTAGTTATTTTACTGTCTTTCGCAGACAGGTAAGTGTATAAGTTAGTTTTTTATATAATGCACACATTTACAAATTTAAATTTACGAGGTAAGTTTCAGCGACTGGAAACTACCGGAAATCAACAAAGTTAGTTCCAGAGATGGAAATTTACAGTAAAGTATCATTGGTAGTTTCCATTGCATAAAGCAGCTGGAAACCATCATTGATGGGAACGTGAATGAAACAAACGTAGAGGAAATTACTCCATATATACCAGTATATACAGTATATATTCAGAAACCTGCATTAACCTACGCTAAACTGTCTATGTATTCCATGTATATAAGTTCCAGTTTAGCGATCTCAGTGTTTCTGTACACCAGAATTCAAATAAAGATACTGTCACATGAAAGATTAATTTCAGGAGCAGTTAAACCTAATTATGGAAACATAAGATTCTACTTTGTCTCCTTTACGTTTTGTTAGGTACACTCACGGATGCCGTAAACTTATAAATTATTGAAGAACACCGGGTAAGGCTCCATAAGGTTTCGGTTACCCATTGGCTTTCCGTTTGTAATTTTTCTCAAAGTGATACATACTAATACAACTAACTGGGAATGTTATGCACATTACACATAACTGTACTGAAAAGGACAATAGTTTCGTAAATGTTCAATAAAGAACATAATACAGGCCACAACAAATTATACAGTAGACTTATAGACATAAAATATATTTAAGTTTAACTTCATCTGCCAGTGGTGAAAAATGTCAATGAACGTTTGTTTTGCCTTTTAATTATAGCATTATCATTATTGATCCATTATCATATTTTAAGCACTTTGGAACCTCATACATTTATAAAATGGCTTTCTAGATATGTCATAGAGTACCTAAAATGTAAGGGAATCATATTTCACACACATTTGCCCTAAGTGTGACTTAGTACATGTTGTTTGTGGAATGATTTTGTTGAATGCTACAAGAAAAATGAAAACAAAATACAGATATCAAACTTTAAAACAACTAACGGTATAAAAAAACTAATGGGCTATATTACCTTGTTCGAGAAAAGTATCCATCAGTATCCACATAATGGAACGATATGCCATTCATCGGCAGCTGCCCAAAAAATTGTTCTATGTCACGTGACCGGGTTTCATTAGACACCAAAGATTATACACCTGACAAGTTTTTACATAATGTCCACAATTCTTTAAAAAAATCAAATAGTGTCGGTTAATCCTCGAAGGAAGGTCGCTGTGTTTACACGACAGAATGTGGGTATATTCGGTGATGTCTTACTTGGAAGTAGACCTTTGTTATTACAGTGAAAATCCTTTGATATTGGAGGGCTGACGGTGCATGTTGTTTTAAGGGATTAACTTTCTGAACTACCTAGCGAAATAGGTGACACGAACTCACCCCTTGTTCACTTACATAATGAAAATCAATGAAATTGAACTCACTTAGCTTGTTTTGACAATCATTGATTGTCATTAATTGATATGAGTAAGCACCAACTCATCAATTTTGGTACATAATATGCTGGCCATACTTTCAAATTCATCACTTTTATTAAGGCAAAACAGCAGTTACATGTGTAAAGTAAAAGTTCATTCCGACTTCACGAGGTGGAAGATATCTATGTATGGATGGTACACTTTAGAGAAATGCTACACATTGGTTGTCCTGGGTATGTTGTAGAGTCTCAGCTGTTTCCACTGTCGATGATATAGTCACCAAACATCCTGACATACGTAACCACGAACGTGTCAACAAGATATAAAGGTGTGACAATATATCCGCTGTGACAATAAATACAACATATAACATAAATATATTTTATGCCACTGATGATTTGTCTGCAGGCGGAATAAGTGTACTTGCGTTCGCAGACGCAGTTTCATACTTAATGACACTGAAGTGTAGACCGTATGTGAACTATGTACATGTATTATGAATTTTTTTTATCATTATGATGATTAAAATAATTTGTGCTAAGATGTCCCTTTAATGAATTTTATTGTTGACATATGATGAATAAGTAAAATATTCTTTAAAATCTGGTATTTTCTACGAATATCACTTCGTTGTACAATTTATTTTGTTTTCAACTTGGGAATTTAGTGTTACCTGCATGCCTGTCATCCATTGTCCTCCAAATGCGTTCAACCTGACAATCCCCGTGTGCCTTATGGTTGTTAGAAACATCACAAATGTCTACTTCGCGGTAATAAACCTCTTCAGTATACGTTAGTAACTCTACAAACATAAACCCTACCTTTTGACGGGCCCTTTTGACAAAGACGTCGTGCAAGATAAAGGTAATAAATCCAGCGTTTTATCGGTTAATCCTTTCATCTGTGTTTGGTTTTTTAACTCAGCTGATAATTCCTTTTGCTGCACCTCCATACATATATTACATAACATGTGGTACATAAGACCTTAATTTATAATGTTGAATATTTAGTGTAGACATGAGAAATGCTAAATGGGAATCTCTGTCGGGTAATCTGATTGATGTTACCACTAATTATACCTGTTATAAATTCACTAAATGACCATCAAGTGAATGATGACAAAAGAACGGGTGTAGGTTTATATCACCAAACACGGTTACAGCAAGGGAGTAGTAATCGTTGTATTGCATGCAATTTTAATTGCCTACACAATCTTAGGAAACTAAGCTGTGTGGTTTTAAAATAATAAGTCATCAAACATCACATTGTTTCTTGATATGATTAAATATCGAGGTAAAAAACACAGAAATAGGATCAAATTGTATCGGTCATATACGATCAACGCATCGGAAAATCTGAAGAAAGCTTACACTGCTGGAGTACTTTAATACAGGAAATACATCCACCATTCTTATCGTTTCATTGTTTAGGTTGAAGAAATTCTGCCAAGGTTGACAGCCGCCCAGTCCCTGGGTCCGTCCCGGTCGAGGTAGCAGGTGCTGCCCACCTGGCAGTCAGACCACGTACTAAAATTGTTGTCCCGAAACCGGAAGCGCTTGATTTGGAATGAATGAGGCAATGCGAGATGTGACGGACATTGTAAAAACAAAACAAATTACATAAACACATATTGCAGTTATCAGTGTTTTTCTAAACTTGTGAAGGGTGAGCAGACTATTGGCATGTTTACCATAGAATTCAAAAAAAATATAATTGAGTACCCATAAGTCGTTGTTTGAAATGCCGCCATCTTTGTTCAAACGTACACGCGCGAGATTGGAAAAAACTTCGTTGTTGTTTCGAAGTAAGTCTATGAGAGTAAGGTAGTGGAAATGGCAGTCTGTATAGTTGCTTTAGTTTTCTTGACACATGGCAACATACTTCACAATCGAAGCTTTGGAAACAAGGATCCGGGAACTTGAGCGATCTCAACGGAAACCCAGGACAGAGAAATTAGCAGTACCCCGCCCTTGTCAGGTTGGTTTCAGATGAAATGCATTATGTTCTTCTTATCAAAGCAGTCAGTTTGCATCGAATTAAACGTTTTCGGTAAGAACCTTTATCTTACAGTAACGATGCGCTCGCATTTCGATTTCACTCACGGTTATTCATGTGGACATTGCATTTTGGTGTGAAATCTGTTAGTGTTAAAAAACAACATTATTGTTGATACCAGCTGAACATTCCGTTAAAATATAACCATAAGACAAGTATATATACGGATGAATGGCAAGGTTGGGGAGCAAGCTCTGGGTATTTATAGACTTATACCAGAGCTACACCGAGAAGCTGCCCTCCTGCAGATCCAGACACGCCTAATCTTGGAGAGGAGACTCAGGTCTTACCTAAGGAAAGCTGCAACAGCACGTCAGGAAGAGATCTTTGCCGTCTGGAGAATGTACAAACGAACAGACCTGACACTCAGCCAGCTGCTCTCCAGGTGTGCCATGATCCACGGACCAGTCATCCAATGAAAACGTGATGCAGAACGTGATGAACTGTTATTGATGCGATAAACTGATCGTGTTAAATAAAAAACAAACAAAACTAGTAGTGTTTTGGTGTTTTTTTAATAATGTGGTTCCGTTTTCGCCAGAGAAAATTGGTTCCGTTTTCGACAGAGTGATTCCGTTTTCGCCAATTGGTTTTTTGGTACCGTTTTGACGCGGTTCCGTTTTAGCCTGCACCCGTTTATATAAGCCACTTGGCTTGTTCGCCTTTTCAGGTTATTGGCGGAATAAAAATATATTGAAAAAAATTGTTATATGCAGCAAGGCAACAGATATAGATGAAACAAGTAGTTCATGATATTTCGGTGGAAAATATTACCAATCGACAGATGTTCATAATCCAAATGTGTGCATTTTTTTGTTTTAGGCTATTGTGAGAAGAACATGGAAAAGTTCGTGGAGTCCCTTGAAAATCCATTAAAAGTTACTTATTTATAAGGTAAAATAACTTACCCCAAGTTTTATTATTGCTCGGCATCATAATCAATATATATGATGGGTTTTATAACATTAGAGACCTCATTAATGCAAACTAAAATTAAAATTGCCATCAACTCGTTTCTTGTTCACAATTGGGTAAATCTAGCATTAATAGAATTGACATAGCATACCATTATGTAGTGCATAATTGCTGTATAATCATGTCGATCATGTTAATAGAAAACTTCTCACACCCTCGCAGTAATGCATATACCACTATTACTTGGTTTGATACGTGGTGAATATGATAATAATCAAAATAATGAATGTTTGTCGGATTGTAATAATCTATTATTGGACGAATGAAACTCATTTGCTTTTCTTAATAGAAACCTTTTGGATAATCTGGAGGATCAAGATGGACGATCGACGTCGGCAGATTCGAGGAAAGGAAGAAAAACACAGGGAAGATGCTAAAAGAAACAAAAGAATCCGATCTGTAAGCTCCTGAAACTGGATTATATAATATCATTTGTACCGGTTTATAGACTTCCTGACACCAGTTTTAAACATCCTAAGTCGCTTAACTGACATGATGTGCTTCATATTATCACATCGCTATATACCTGTAATAGAATAACTTTCCTTCTCTCATGTCATTACCCATCACCGTAATGTGCCATGTGTATTGCTGCAGATGTGAGTTTTACATCCACTGCATTTATTCTCATTTAAAGAGGGAATCCACAGTTTTACCCTTATTTACACATTGCATCCCATAAATGCTTATTACAATGTACACAAAGAGTCGAAGCCATTATTTTCTATATCATTCCCCCACGGATAATGGGGAACTTTCTCATTTTTCTAACTTTATCAATAATTGTTTTGCTTTCATCCTTCAACAGTTTGTTGAAATTACCTGAATCTCAAGATGCCTACTATTAAGTTCATGCGACAAACATATTCTCAAAGGTATCCAATGTAACAAAAAGTAAGATTATAGTTTTCTCTATTCATGTAAACATACCATTGCATGTTCATAAATGCATCCAGGTGATAATGATGAATTAACCCCAATTTTCTGTTTCAGTTTTACTTGTGAAAATATTTGATGAGTGTTGACATAGACTTGTATCGTCAGAGAATTGGGGTGTTTCATGGTAAAATCTATAGTTCTTCAAAGGGCAAGATTGATCTTAATACATATTACGTTGTATTATTTTTCTTTACCCTGGGTCTCAGGGGTATACAGTTGTTTCTTATGTTGTTGATTTGCTGTGGGGATGTCCATCCAAACCCTGGACCCATTATACCAAACAATAGATCTAATTTAAATATAGTCCATATACATGTGCGTAGCTTAAGGGATAAAATTGACATCATTAATTTTGAACTTAAAGATTATGATATCATCTGCATAACAGAAACATGGCTACATCCTGATATCTTAGATACTGATATTATGATAACTGGATTTCATAAACCTTTCAGACAAGATAGCTGGTGTCCCCCAAGGATCTGTGCTTGTTATTTCTTGTGTATATAAATGATCTTGTTGAAAATATAGATTGCCATATAAGACTCTTTGCTGATGACACTTCACTTAATGTTATAATAGAAGATCCTACCGATGATGCTATATAATAATAAAGATTTAGAAAGGATTTCTCAATGGGCAGTGCGGTGGCAAGTTAAATTCAATCCTTCTAAGACTGAAAGTATACAGTTTAGTAAAAGACGTTCCATAGTGATTAGTCCGAGATTATGTATGCAAAATATTCCTATAAACGAAGTTTCCGAGCACAAACATCTAGGCCTCTGGTTTCAAAAAGACGCAAATTGGACTGCACAGATAAATTCTCTATTTGATAAAGTTTCACCAATGATAAATTGTTTAAGGAGTTACAAATATCGATTATCAATAAAAACACTATATGTTATGTATAAATCCTTTATTCTGCCATTATTTGATAATTGTAGTTGTGTATGGGATAACTGTACAGTTAGCCAGGCATCAATGCTTGAAAAATTGCAGCTTGATGCACTAAGATGTGGGGCTACAAGGGGAACAAGTCATAATAAATTATATTCAGAAACTGATCTTTTACCTCTAGCAGAAAGAAGGCGCATTGAGAAACTGACCCTATTCCATAAAATGATACATAACAAAACACCAGATTACTTAAATAGAACTCAGACTTATACAGTCACCAAGTGAATTTAAAAACAAGATTACACCATATTGTAATACTTCATTCGGATTTGATATCAACATTGGAAACAGGTTCTGTCAAATAATCCACTGTAGACTCCGATTAGAATGCAGCGATTTAAATGCCCATAAAGTAAGTAGATTTATATCCGATAACCCATCATGTATTTGTGGTGCCGCCTTCGAGGTCACCCTTCATTATCTTTTTATATGTCCCAATTATGATGCCATAAGAAACGATTTATTTTATTTCAAACATGGATATAACATAAATGACGCTCTGTATGGTAACTTAGAATTACCTACATCTATAAATCATGATATTATCAATTCTGTACATACCTTTATTACCAGTTCAAAAAGATTTAATCTGTCTTAAGTTTTCATCTGTCCCTTTGCAGAACTAAAAGTATTTGTGGCTGTGGATGTTCATATTCATGTATATTGTATGCTTATTGTTATTTATGATACCATGTATTTTTGAAATATTGTTATGAAATGTAAGTCGCATAAATGTTGTTTTGTCTGGAGAGGCATTAATATAAGCGTTTTGCTTGTTTGCCGATCCAGTTTCTGAACAATGTATCAGAAATAAATATGTTTAAACCATGTGCCATTATCTAATTAGAACAAGTGCGGCTCTCAAGAATAAATGTTGGACATAACTTTCGCAATGCAAGAATTTCATTTTTCCTCCCAGAAACGCCAACAGCGCCTAAAGAATCTAGCTACTATTAACTGGACAGAGAAAAGAACACAGAAGGTGGCTGCAGTCCTACCCCCAGAATTGACATCGCCAGTGGTGTCTGGCGCTCCAGAGGCAAACATGAAGAACTTGCGACACCATCCAACAATATGCTTTCCAACCACCTAAAGGTGTTCCACCCTGGTCATTGAGAATATGATTCATGTTAGTTAGGGATAGGATGGAATGTCTAAATGTACATTCAATTATCTCCTGTATTCACCCTGTTTAGGAAAAAACAACTAAATTTGTTGTTTCTAAGACTAAGATTAAAATGAAATTAATGTCCCTCATATTAAAAAAATGCCAACCCCTCCATAATATTTATTCTCTCTCTCTCTCATTCTCTCACTCTGTCTCTCTCTCTCTCAAATGACATATATATTGTCTATGCCGGATGGCGCAGTGTGTTATTGATTTCAGAAACCTTCTCTCCAGGTAGGAACCCCAGATGTACACCTGGTCGTCTAGGTAACACACATGGTAAGCAGCTGGACAGTTCAATAACAGATGGGACCTAATAGAAAATATTTTTTCTTTCAAAATTCAATCTCTCTCTCTCTATCTCTCGCTCTCTCTCTCGCTCTCGCTCTCGCTCTCGCCTCGCTCTCTCTCTCTCTCTCTCTCTCTCTCTCTCTCTCTCTCTCTCTCTCTCTCTCTCTCTCCTCTCTCTCTCTCTCTCTCTCTCTCTCGCTCTCTCTCGCTCTCCTTCTCTCTCTCTCTCTGACACACAAGTGGTTTGTGTGTGTTTTTAGTGTGCATTCCTCTCTGAATAAGGAGAATCAACTGATGGGATTTTGTGATTTGTGACAATGTTTAATTGTAACATTGAAACATAGACATGATATGTTTATGATGAATAAAGAGAAATTAACTGATTTACTGATTTTGTATTTATTTATTTCTATGTCCAAGTGGTGTTGAGGTGACTGTAGTTGAAATGAGTTTATTTTATATTTGAATGTATTATGAATATAATATATGACATAATACATTCAAATATATAATACACTCATTTCAACTACAGTTAATATAGTTGAATAACCATAATTTAATATGGTAATCACTGAAAACTAATAATTGAAGACAATGAAGCCATACAGATTCTGATTTACTGAAACTTATGGAACATGGTTAATGTGATTAATAGAAACGAAAATCAAAGGGAAACATAATTGAACTATGTAAATAAATGAAACCATCTGAAAGTAGAGGATAAGTGAAACCCAATGGAACGTCATAGGAATCTGCGTAACGGAAACGCACTGGAACCAGAATAGTAGTGGTTATAAACGTGTTTATGTTATGAGTATAGTCAACCATACAACTGTTTGTGTAATGATTACATAAATATTTAATCAAATATCAACTGTCGAGTGTATGACGGTCACATTATAAATTATTACTTTTGTTACTATTTACATATTGATACAAATAATAACAAATATTAATATAATAAAATATATATTAGTTTGCATGTTCCCTTTTTACCTATGGCCCTTTTGACTTGCAATTACTACTGTCTTTATATCCTTTATATCTTTTCTAAAAAAAATGTTTGTTGGCAAGATATGGTGTAAAAGTCTGTATTGGAACCATTGTAATCTAGTATCTTTCGTACATCTAAAGGGAGTAGTATTGTAAAGTGGCCAATCATGAGATATAATGTCGTAATATAAAATGTTTAGTTCCCATTTCGATCCATGTTGATTTTTTTAACATAGACCTGAAATTAGAGTTTTGTACAAGTATTGCGTCCCTTTTACATTCTTACAGAGATGTTGCATATATATCTTGGCTAAAGTTTATCATAGATATTCTAGATAACTGTGGGTAAACACCGCCGTCTTCAATTACCATGTAATCTCATTCGCAACTACCAAATTTGCAGACATATGACTTGCTGTGAAATAGCCAAGGTAACAGATGTTTGCGAAAACGCGAACAAAATCTGTCTCACCACAGGTATCGGTGACAAACTAATCAAACGAATAAAATCGAAAACCAAAAGGGAAACCATGGTACACTGAAAATAGGCCAAATCACCCGCTACTTTTGTGGTCGTTGCAAACTATATTTGATTTACACTTCTTAAATAGCTTTTACATGTACCATCAAATCTCTTATAAATTTAAGTTTTTCCTTAAGTTTACCAAACAAAACGTAAAGAATCTTCAGTTTCCATATTCTTTCAATTAGGTTTCCGTTTTCCTGAAATTAATTTTATTTCATGTGACAACATCTTTTATTTGAATTCTGATGTACAGAAACACTGACATCACGAAACTGAAACCTATATAATACATAGGCAGTTTAACGTAGGTTAATGTAGGTTTCTGGATATATGCATGTGGAGTCAAATTTATTTTTCTACGATCATTTCATTCAAGTTCTCACTAATAGAAACCATCAATGATGGTTTCCAGTTACTTTATGCAATGGAAACTAACAATGGTACTTTACTGTCAGTTTCCATTTCTGGAAACTAACCTTGTTTGTTTCCGACAGTTTTCAGTCGCTGAAACTAACCGTGTTAGTTTCAGCAACAGGAAACTGCCGGAAACAAACAATCATAGTTTCCGTGAGCGGAAACCTACATGATTCTGGTGTTACCCAGTTTCATGTAGGTTTCCGGAAATCTGGAAACCTTGTTATTTTTGCTGTGCAAACGGGCTCTGTGAGGACTTAAACATTACTACTCCTGTGGTGAGGCACACTTTGCTTGCGTTTTCACAAACATATGTTACCAAGTCATATGTCAGCAAAACTTTAGTAGTTGCCAATGAAATTGCATATGGTCATTGAAGACATTATTTCGCACTGCCTAACACAACATAAATCAAATCTTGTATCACGGATACACTGCAAAAAGACATTACGTGGAATTATAACATATTTAAGTTTGTTCTGTATAAATTCAACACAACTTTTTCTAAGGAGTGGCAGATTGATTATTGTTTAACGGCGCATCAGCAGTCGTGCAGCTATTGCGGGTTGTTGTTCCGCAGAAATAATGGTTTCCACATTTAATGAGTAAAATTAAGACGGGTATCCTACAAATTGCTCTTGTTATTGGTGAAATGTCAAACACCTACATCCTATTCACTTCATTTAACCATGGTTAAAATAGTATTATGTTTGCGATGTAAGCTAATTAACAAGTATTTACGATATTTAATAACTGTTTGATTATATTGAATGCGGAAAGGGTACGATAATGCGTTACTATAACACATGTGTGAGCATACGTGTGCTTTCACTGTACATTGTGTGTACGATGTGCTTGTGTAAGCTTAAATGGCATTCCTTTACCCAGTTATCCACGGGGTAGGGGAGTGAATGAATGAGTTAAAATTTATCGTCACATCGGCAATATGTCAGCCATATCGTGACGAGAACAATTAATTTGTTACATAGTAATTAATGGTAGCCTGTAAAAACCTGTCTACGAAGGACAGTAAAATAACTAGATTATCACAGATGTGAATTTAAGACTAGTAATTAAATCAAAAACAGTTGAACTATAGATGACAATAAAAACAGGCTATAGATTGCCAACAACTGAAGGTAGATCACCATACTAGGGACCATGGGGACTAACAGTACATTTGCTTCCTGCATGGACCTTAGCTGGATTTACACCATCCCTTCAGCTATTAGCAATGATAGATAATCTAGCCACAAATTAAACTAACATATATTCTACGATTAAAATGGTAGTAGGTTTAAATTTACTTTGAATGTTTTGGGACTTACGTACCCTCTCAGGAGGACAATAATGAAACAGTTGAACTATAGATGACAATACAAGGTAAAAACAGGCTATAGATTGCCAACAACTGAAGGTAGATCACCATACTAGGGACCATGGGGACTTACAGTACATTTGCTTCCTGCATGGACCCTAGCTGGATTTACACCATCCCTTCAGCTATTAGCAATGTTAGATAATCTAGCCACAAATTAAACTAACATATATTCTACGATTAAAATGGTAGTAGGTTTAAATTTACTTTGAATGTTTTGGGACTTACGTACCCTCTCAGGAGGACAATAATGAAACAGTACTTTCACCCCCTTCGGGGGTACAGCTACTGACAATCTAAGTTACTAATCTAAACTACTAATCATAAAAATACATCTATCTACAGAACATATTAATAAAAATTCATTAATAAAATCAATTTCTTTTAAAAAAACCAAGAATTAAATGAAAATGAACAGTATTAAAAAGATCCTTAACAGTGTTTACATTGAAATATTTATCCGTTATGATGGAGAATTCAACACGGGGTACTGGAAATAGAGAAAGGAGAGGAGGTGTCTGCACAAGGTGTGAATGCAGACCCCGGGATAAGGGGCGTATTTGCTTAAAATAGAAAACTTAAAATAGAATTCATAGGATATATACCGTTTTAAAAGGGATCAAACATTAATTTAACTTTACCAAAGCTTCTATGCTGCTTTATATTTCTTTTTCTAATTACAATTAATAATCATCTTAATACTCACATTGCTCAGGATATATAGTTTTGAAAGAGATCAAACATTAATTGTATTGTTATACTGAACACAAATAGATAATTTGCTATTTAGAGTGCAATTTACACATGACAAATGAACTAAAACTGTTAAAGTGCTTATTACTCTTTAAATGTGCTATATTACATGCTGTTTTTTTGTGCAGTTCAAAACAGTAATACATACTTATTTCATATAATGTTGCATTATTATGGTGGGAAAACATTATTATTGTGGGAAACATTCCTCCCCTATAAAAATTGTGGTGGGTAAAGTTGATATGGGCAAAGCTCCATACACCTTCGAATCCCGCAACTATCCCCACCGCATGATAGTATTAAGCATTGTGGATAATCTCTGAGGCAGGTATTTGATGTAAGGCCGGGTGGGACAACTTAGGAATGGCCAGCAAGTCCCAACTTGACACACAGAAGGAAGCGAGCTACAAAGACATATTTTATATCATTGTAACGATCTCAAGGAGATGAACCCAAACAGTTCAGGTGCAAGTGTGTTCACAAGTTCATAAGCTCACAAATTGGCCTTGAAAATTCATTTCAGAAAATTCTGGCGGAAATGTTTTCCTCCAAAAAAATTTCTAGCAGAATTTTTTATTTTACTATCAGAATTATCTTGATGCAATAAAAGAATAAAATTAGGCTTCACCTTTGAATGATTTAACATGGATTTTATTTAAATGATGGTTATCTCCTGAAAACAACAAGTTAGGGGGGGGGGGGGTAGTTCCCAGAAGTAGATCGCTGCACAAATCTTACAAGAACACCTCACAATTTCATTATGGACACTCAAAAGTCCAGAAACTCTCCGCACTGTGGCCACTTTCTAACAAGGTATTTGACAAAATTAAACATACAGTTGTCATGAATATATCCAAAGCATGAAAAAATGAAAAATATTTATTTTTCGAAAGCTCAAAATTTAAAGTCGCTCGCCTATGTTTCAAGTTTTTGAGGTTATAAATGAATGAATATATGTTTATAAGTATCATGACACAAAACGTCAAATCATTTGAACTTAATTTCACTAATTTAGAGTGTTATTAAAGATTATTTACTTTTGCTCAAAATTCACGTTATGCAATGTTTTGGAGGGTTGTAAAGGAATGAAAATACGTTTATAAGTACCATGACCAAAAAATCATTTGGACTTATATCAAGTAATTTAGAGCTTTATCAAAGTAATCTCGCCCTTGGGCATAAAAACATTTGACCCATGAGCGAGAATATTTTCTTTTGCTCAAAATACACGTTTTTTCAATGTTTTTGAGGTCTGAAATGTATCATAAATCATTTGACTTAATTCGGCTAATTAAGAGCTATGTAAAAATATCTCGTCCAAGGGCGATAATATTTATTTTTACTCAAAAGCCAGTCAGTCCACAATGGGCGAAACAATTTGACCGACTGGCAAGTTAAACTTAATTTCAAAATTCATTTGTTTTTGTTTGCAAAAAACATATATCTATGTAATAACTATCCTGATTCTTGACAAAATTCCCTCTACGTTTCATGAAAACATTCACCTGAAGAGTGATTCTCTCCGAGCTGAATATCAAGCAATAGCAACGAAAACATCTCTGCGTCATGTTGCCATGTTGCGCCATGTCATGCCATCATCACCGGAAGCAAGTAACCGGGAAATTTCAGTAATTTCAAAGGAAAGGGAGTAATCATTAAATATTTTGAAAATACAAAAGCCGTTGAATCTATTCAAAACAATGCGCTAGTATGACTACATCCCAGATTGACTACTGTAGAAATACACATCCTTATTATGTACCCTATGCCCTAATGGACTCGCCCAAAAAGTGACTTTATGACTTAATGAGTTATTGTTTAGTGCTTTGCTTATGGCATTAAACATATTAGAAGATAAATAGAGCTTCAGATGATTACTTGTTTTTTGCACCAGGCATAGTCATAATGGAACAGGTGTAATTAACTGGCTACGAAACAAATATCTCCCTGCATATTATTGTAAACATCCCACTGTTGATAAATACATTGCTCTTATACTATCACATACAAACCAATACTTGTTAAACTTGCTCTTTTTGTGAAATGGGGCAAGTTTATATGTATGTTTCATTGTTGTTTTTAATGTATATTTGTTTTACTCTATGTCATGTATATGACTCATGAGAATAAACTTGCTTTGACTTGATTTAATTAGACCGGGTCTGTACAACCCCAATATGTAAAATCAAGACAATATGTAAAAACTAACGAAGTATGTAAAAAATTAAAGCTAAATTTTAAAAAATGTCTTTAACGCAATGTGTAAACACCCAACGCAAAATGTAAACAAAAAATAATGCAATTTGTAAAAGATTAACGGAATCTGTAAAATACAGCTTTATTGTTGTACATTGTATATTGTTTTGTCGACTGAAATTCATTTTTTTAGAAACTTTACTTGATTGTTTTTTAAAATAACTAAGCTATTGCAATATTTCTGACAAAATTAACCTCATTTCTAACTTAATAGATATCTGATCGTTCGGGCCGTTTAACATCAAAGTAAAACCGATAATTGTGTAATGTACATGTATAGCGATATTTGATATCATAAGGTGGGTTCTATTCATTATGTCCTATTCAAGGAGGTTTTACCCTTGTATCCCCCAACGCACATGTAGCGCAAAGTTGGGGACATAAAATTACCCTCCGCATTGGGCACGGTAACCAAGGTTCAACTTGGAATTATGCAGATACATGTATAAGTTTTTTGTATTTTTTTCTTTCTCTTTTCATTGTTTGTGTTGAGAAACCAGTTTTGCTTTCAAATTTGTCCTATTTAGTGGTGAATTAATACCAAAACAGTTTCTTTTATGGAATTAATGTATTAGTTACTTTTCCTGGTAGTGTGTTTTTTAATCTCACCTCAAAATACACAAATGAAATGCAACAAATCCTGATAAAAGGTTTGAGCCATCTCATAGGAATTACGGGAGACTTGGGAATTGTTTTTCAGAAACACTTTTAATGAATTTTAGAGAAAATATCATATTTATGATGATGTATTTACAAATATTATATTACTCCAAAAAAAGAAAATTACTGTTTAAGTATAAATGTGTCGCTGGACACAAATATCTTTGATTTAGAAATGGTAAATCCATCTTGCATTTTTATGTATAATGGACATGCAAGATATATCGCAGTGATGCGGGTATTTCCATTCCAATCATATCTGATTACCTTCAATCAAGTCACAGGTAATATTGCTGTCAATGAAATCGAGAGAGAGAGAGAGAGTCATTTAATAAATGTACACATTTGAATAGCTTCTTTCATATTCTCAGTTGCTTTACTTGAAGTTATGGCGGTTCAAGACGCCCGCATCTAGGAACTATTCTAGTGTTCCCTTAAACCGCCCATCGTTGTTTCATGTACATAGTCAAATCAGAACTATTGGCGCTCTCTCCTAGGTCAGTTGCTAGGTCCGAAGTCCAATGGTCAGAGCTACCATCTCGATGCCAAGTACCAATTGCAATTTATTCCAACCCCCATACACAATGAATTAAAATTGGAGACATTACTACAACATGCATGTTATTTCAAACCAAATTAAGAAGGATCAATAAGTGGTTTTCTAAACCCAATTCGGTAATCACAGATTATCAACAACGGAATGGACAGTTTGAAGGAAAGGTCAAACCTTCTTGTATAAGACATAATGAATATAACCCAAAATACCATTTATGAAAACAAGTTTGAAGAATAAACCTTTTCCTTTAAAACTTTCGAAAATAGACTATAAGATCCATTAAAATATTTCTATAAACAAGTAAATTATATGTTTATCGACTATACTTATATGTATACTGAACGAGGTAAAATTTTGTAAAAAAAAATGTAATATGCAGTTTATTTTTTAAGAAACATTGCGATATCTTAGTTTTTGTAAATAAAGTCAATTTTTGCCAAATTTGTGAAAAAAAAGGATTCGATTGCCACCCCTAATATTCAAACCTAAAACTGGATTTTAAAGACATCTTTTACATATTGCGTTAATATTTTACATATTGCGTTATTTTTTACGTTTTGCGTTGTTTTTACATATTGCGTTAGTTTTTACATATTGTCTTGATTTTACATATTGGAGTTGTACAGGGCCAAGTCAGGCTGAACACAGAGCTTTACTTACAGCAACATGCGCACTTATAATACTACGCTTTGAGACTCTGTAGGGGGGTATTTAGGTATTCTATTAATACTAACAAGACAGATCTCTGAAGTTGAAGTTATTTTTTGAAAGCCCTGGCCAAGAGTGACCGAACACTTGTGAAATAAAGACTAGGCTGGGAATGTGGAAAGAGAACTTTACTTTAAGCAAAGAAATCGCTTTGAGACTCTTTAAAGTGATGTTTAGGTATAACACAACTTAGGCTAGATATGTGATTTTTACGTTTACGCAATGTCATGTTTAATATCACTCTAAATTAGCCGAATTAAGTCAAAGTTAGTAGAAGTTTGTGTCATGATACTTATAAACATACTTTGATTTATTTACAACCTCCAAAACATGAATTCTGAGCGAAACTAAATATTCTCGCCCATAGGCCACTGTTCGAGCGAATATAAATATGGAGTTTTCGGAAACATTTTTATAAACATACATTCATTCATTTATAACCTCAAAAACATGAAACATGGACAAGCGAGTTTACATTTTGAATTTTCGAAAAGGAAATATTTTTCCTTTTTTCATCCTTATCACATATTCATGACAACTGCATGTTTAATTTTGTCAAATCCCTTGTCAGAAAGTGGCCACAGTGCGGAGAGTTTCTGGACTTTTGGGTGTCCAGAATTAGATTGTGACGTGTTCATTAGATAACGACAAAGGGCATTTAGCAACATACATCACCAACACTATACGACCTCTGTTGTTCTTTCCCAGCTAAGAAACACCTTTTCACGTCAAGTGATCACGTCCAACAAGCCGTCGATTCACGTCACGTTCATTTTTTGTTACTAACGGAAAAAGTAACTGTCATAACATAAAATTGCATAAATAAAAGTTATTTTGAAAAGTTAAAATAACCCTAAATAAACATGTAGCAAAGAATTTTGCATGAAATTTGATGTCATGTATCGCGTGCATTTTATGCACACTGAACTTACTCACTTTTTGCATGCTTTTCGAAACCTGAAGTTAACACACCTGATATATAAAATTGAAGAACGATTGATTATTCTCTAGCCCCTGAATGTCGTGGACAACACGTTAATTTCAACCTAAACTGCGGGTACGTCATGCGTCAGAAAATCAGCGTCTCCGCGCCGTGGGTATGCAGGAGACTGAAATGGCCCTAATGAAGTGGCCAGCCATTTTGGTGTCCATCGAAACACGATCTCGTCTCTGTGGCGACGTTTTCAACATAATTGGAACACGAGAGGTTTGCCTCTGACCGGCCGCCCACGCGCAAGACAACCACTTTCGGCTAACCCCTCAAAGGAATCGATTCTAGACTGCCATGTTGACTGCTCGGACCATTGCTGCCTTACGTCCAATCAGTTCCAGAACTGTACGGAACCGACTGAGGGGAAGGTTTTGCTCCAACGTCACTGACAGGCACGTCTTGCCTGGTGCGGACAGCATCTACGGTACAGGAGAAAAGATTGGGATGGTGTTATATTCACCGAGGAGTCGAGACTGGGCATAGACGGCGAGGTGAACGGTGTGCTGACGTGTGCGTTATTCAAAACGTCGACAGTTTGGTGGCGAAGCGTTATGGTATTGGGGAGGCATCACATCTCATGCTTGGACACAACTTGTCATTGTCAATGGCAGTCTGGCAGATCTGTGATACATGGATGAAAGTATTTGCTCCTCATGTGCAGCTGTTCTTTCAAGAACAGAGAAGTAATTTCACGCTTCAGCAAGATAATACCCGTCCGCATATCGCTCGTGCTGTGACAGATTTCCTGAGACAACAGAACGTTACGGTACTTCCCTGGCCAGCTGTTTCTTTGGACCTGTCCCTTAACGAGCACGCTTGGGATGGAATGAAGAGGTGTTTACGTCAAACCCAGAATGAACCATTTGCATTAACTGAAATGGGACAAGAATTGGTTCAGACGTGGAACAACATTCCTCAAGCTTTCTTCAACCCTTTAGTGTCGTCTAAGCGTTGTCACTGTCAAGCCTGCATCAACGCCAGTGGTAGACACACACACGATAGTGAATTTGTGAACTGACTTTGACACCACATCCCTTCAAGGGTGTGTCACGATGCCTCGTGTCAAATCATACAGATTTCGATCTTATCCTGTCAACAGTAAAACAATGATTAGAAAACACCACAAATTATGCCATTATCCTTTTGATTAAAAAATGGCATAATATCAAATAATGCACAGTTACTTTATTTCAGTAGTATATTTTGATGTCAGTATGAATAGAATGTATATCGTACAAACGTATATCAACGTAGGGATGCAGACAATGTTTTAAGGAACAGCATGACAGCTTGCCCTGTATCAATTTTCATGTTGTAGGTTGACTTTATTACACAAGGTTAATCTTAGAATCAGGATTATAGGAAAGACATAAACTTTGATCTGCCCAATGTTCTGTGTAATACTGTATTGCTTTCACGGGCTTAAGACCAGTCAATATTCATTATAGCTTTACCCGTGACAATCAGGGTTAGAATTGGTCTTCAGTATCCCATGCTTGTCGTAAGAGGCGACAAACGGGATCGGGTGGTCAGGTTCGCTGACTTGGTTGACACATGCCATCGTATCCCAATGCTCATGCTGTTGATCACTGGATTGTCTGGTCCAGACTCGATTATTCACATACCGCCGCAACCATACAGCTGGAATATTGCTGAATACGGTGTTAAAAAACACCAACAAACTAAGTGAACCAAATCATTATAGCTATAGTGCTCTTTCTTGATGTCATATGTGTGTCGTCAAATTTCTTTGTTCCTGTTTTTATGCCATGTCCACTGTTGACTTAAGCTTCCATCACATGCCTGCCGGACAAGGACGTGCCCTTCTATTGCAATACAGTCCCCAAATTCTGTGTGGATGGACCGTCCGTCATATTTCCAGGCCTGATGGCCACCTTCCCCGTGACATCGAGCCAGTTGGACCTCCTTCGAATATCCAGAATCCATGCAGTGGATGCTGTGCCGTATCTCTCCCAGCTCACTCATGTCCCAGACCTGGCCTTCTCCGTTGTCATGACAAGGCAGCATCTCCAGCGCCACATCATAAGAATAGTCTCTGGCATCCACACACATTGACGGTTGTAAGGCGGAACGTATGTCGCCGTTGTACACTCCATCGCCCACGATGTACAGTTCTGGATGGACGTTGTTCAAGTACCATCGAAATGACTTGCAATCCAAATCCTCCCGAAGTCTCTTTCTTTCAGAAACGTCTCCTATATCAACCAACTGACCGTCGGAGTTCATGGTGAATTTCCTATAATCGTCCAGCCATACATTACCAACTCGCCCTGTGTTACGGTGATAAGAGTAGTAACTCTTCACATTCCCATAATGATAATTTGAATGAGTACGAAACACATGCCCGACATGGGAACAAGGTATCAGTTCAATACGACCTCCACACATCCATACTTTCAAGCTCAGCTCTGTGTTCTCCCCACCCCATATCAAAAGTTCCGGGTCGTACTTTCCAAGTCTTTCAAACCACGATTTGCTTATCGTAAACATCCCACCCGCCATTGCAGGTGTGTGAATTGGATCAATCAGTGACTTAACTCGCTGTTTTTCTCTCTTAGGAACGTATGCCCAGTCCATACGATAACAACGGGAAAGTCAGTATGGTTACGTGTATAGGATTTGAGTTTTCAATTCCGAAATTTTCACTGTTTATTGTCTCTGTGACCGGAACAGCCACTATCTTGGGATCGGTGGCAACCCTTGCCAGAAGAGGTTCCAGCCATCTCTGGAAACATTCACAATGACTATCTAGAAACGTCACAGTAGACGAAGCCGCAGCATCAAATCCAATTACCCTTGCCTTCATGAGCCCGATTCTAGTTTTGCTCCTTATAAGTCTGACTTTAGGAAAGCCAGCCAAGTATTCCTCCAGGGGGCTTTTGAGGTGTTCCCTCTCTGAAGCATCATCGACGAGGAGCACCTCCTTCAATAGACTTGGAGGTGTGTTGTCAAGGACGCTGTGAACAGTCCTGAGCAACGTTGACCACGTCTCGTTCATGAATATGATAACAACGCTTGTCTGAGGTAGTGCTGGAATATTATACATTTTATTTTGGCACTCGTCGGGTTTAGGAAAAGGCGTTCGTCTCCGGAGAGGAATGAGATTACTCACGTATTCCCGGAAGCCATTCTCTTTTTCGCTCAAGTCATATTTCAGTCTTTCCTCTGCGGGTAACTTCTGTTTGTCTATGAGAACAGGTTGTCCCTTGTCCCCTGGACGAGTCAAGTTGAACAGGGTTTTCACGAGTGTCACGTCGGGCATGTCAGGTACAGATAACAACCTTGACGACACTGCATCTCCACGAAGGTTAGCCATGGTGTCATGTTTTCTAAAAACACTTGATGTTTGTCCACGGTAATTAAAAAACAGCATCAATGATATGACAGAAAGGAACACGCTCCATGCTAGTTTCCTCCTTCTTGTCCTCAGCTTCAGATACAACATATCTCTCTCAAATAAAGCCAGCCAAATGGCGTTGTGCTTGTATTTATGACACGTATTTGGAACCATAAAAGAGTGCACGTGTCACGCATCTTATTGCTCCGTAATAACTAAGCAATGAAAGCAATAAAATCATCAAATCTATACGCGCCTGTTATTGATGGATAAGAAACCACGAAAGATGATCATTATGTTTTATTGATCTTGTACAATATGTCGGTTTATGGGTTTAGGCACCATGACGTACAACAAAGGCCCCACGTGGCACTGAGGCGGAAAGATATCTCACAGTACCTTTGTGCTGTAACAAGTAGTCTGTCCCGCAAACATATGATAAGTTATTTAATCACACACAGACACACACATACACACACACACATACACACACATATATATTCTATCATTTTATTCCTGTAGACATAATACATAATCTTTTTCTTACCATTACATTATCATATGTCCTACAGGACATAAATACATAAATAAATAAATAATCATTCTTTCACACTTTCATACCCATGCATTCCAGCCTACACCTAAAGGTAAACAAGTCCACATATAAAATAATAATAATATTAACTCGGTGCCCTTCTGACACTCTGGGTAATACAGAAGGCTGCAGTGTTTCTCCCGAAAGGTCTTGGTGGGTTCGACTGGGCAGCGTTTCCTGGGAGGTCAGGTTCGCTGTCTGGGCAGCGTGTAGAGGGGACAAGGGCCCTGAGCTGATGATGAGCCTTACCAGCCTGACTGTGCCAGAATCTCCCGTACCCTCGCTGCTGCATTTTCACATTTAATCTTTAAAACATTATAAAGGCATTTATGATGCGCTAAACTCCATTCACTTTGTGAATCTGAAATCACAATCTGATTATCACTACCCCGGATAACCCAAACTGCCTGTGAGGCGCTAGAAGTTTAATAGTCACATGACTTATCCCAGCGGGTACCCATTTTCTGCTGGGTGAACCGAGGCAACTTTGAACAAACTCACTTGCCTAAGGTGAGACCACATGTATCACATGTGCTTCGTTGTGGGGCAGTACTGAAGTTTTATAAACTCCCAGGAGTCAAGCTGCCGAACACGGAATCACAACCCAAGGAATCTCCGCGTTCAACGTTGCTTAACTTCAACTGATTTGTGACCTAAGCACTACGCACAGGACCACACATAACCACAATTTGCTTGAATATTAATTCGTTTTCAAGAGTGGGACAATATTTTATATAAGCCTACTTTTTGTAAAGTTCTGAATTCGAAAGCCGTGGTTTACGGCCTTTCGGCATGCAACTCTTCCTGGCTTTGACAACAGAGCGTTAATGGGGAGAGGATGGGAATGATAAAGGCACTATTCCTTAACGCTTAAAGCGTCCTCTTGTCACGCTGAAGACCCGTGTTCTATTCCCCACAAAGGGTACAATGTGTGGAGCCCATTTCTGGTGTCCCCCACCGTGGTATTGCTGGAATATAGCTAAAGCGGCGTAAAACATACTCACTCGCTCGCTTTTTACATAAGTTCCATATAGCTCTTTCACTATATGCGCCATTCATGACATCTATTACAGCTGACGATCGTGCTGCGAAGACTCTTTAGCCTGTCTGTAATTTGTTCTGCGATCTCCCACCCGAATTGCCATTTCCATGTGAAATGTATGCCCTGGAGTGATACAGAAGTACTTTTGCATACTCCTAAACCAGGTCAACCGTGAAGATGCGAGTTAGAACTGATCTTCAGTAACCCATGCTTGTCGTAAGAGGGCGACTAACGGGATCGGGTGGTCAGGCTCGCTGACTTGGTTGACACATGTCATCGTATCCCAATTGCGTAGATCGATGCTTATGCTGTTGATCTCTGGATTATCTGGCCCAGACTTGATTATTTACAGACCACCGATATGGCTGGAATATTGCTGAGAGCGGCGTAAAACCAAACTCACTCACTCATAATCCAGATCAGCTTGATGTGGAGGTCGAGCTGGCTAAGGCGCCAGGCTAGTGGCCCAGCGAGTTTGAGGTGACAGGATCGATCCCACCTGTGACCGGGTGTAAAACCTTGGAGTCAACATTGTGTGCAGACTCTTTAAATGTTGTCACAACCCCTAGTGTACAGTACACAACCCTGTGCTCTTAAATAAACCACGAATTCCTTGGTATATGACCAGATGGTGGCCACATGAACACGTGCAAACACCTAGTTGCGGGTACGGCAACGTGCAGTGAACTTGGACGAAGTACTGTGCCTATGTGTCCCAGTCCACCCACCTGTGAATGGGTACCACGTATGTATGTATGTATGTATGTATGTATGTATGTATGTATGTATGTATGTATGTATGTATGTATGTATGTATGTATGTATGTATGTATGTATGGATCATGTATGTATGTATGGATGTATGTATGTATGTATGTATGTATGTATGTATGTAAACGTATGTATGTATGGATGTTTACAAGTATGTAACGTATGTATGTATTTACGAGCAAATATGTATGTATGTATGATACCAGTATGTATGTATGTATGTTGGATGTATGTATTTCCTTCATCTGCAGTTATTCAAGAAACCCGGTTCTCACATGGTAATATTGCTGTTTTATTGCTAATATTGCTAAAAGCGACGTAAAACTACACTCACTCACTATTGTAAAATTGGCATTACAATGTTCTATAAAGCAGTGGAGGACGGTGATGTTCGATATATATTTAGACGCGAGTCAAATATCTGAAATCGTCAAGAACAATGAGTTTAATCCGGCAAGGTATGAAAATTCCTTGACGATTTAAGTCCATGTTAGGGGGCAGGTGCCTGACCCCAGTATCAGACATTACGGCGTAAGCTATAATCCGATATAGGCCTGGACGTTGGACTGTTGCTCCTGCATGGTAAACATTATTACCACTGACGTCATTGATATTACCACTGGTGTTTTGTTTCATATTGTCATTGTAATACTTCCGTCAGTAGCTTTGTACTGGCGAAATTATCTGATTGATATTGAAGACTTAGTGTGCTTTGAAAGCGGTCTTACTGGCGAAATGCTTCAGCTCGAAACCCGTGAAGATCCGGGTTAGAATTGATCTTCAGTAGCCCATGCTTGTCGTAAGAGGCGACTAACGGGATAGGGTGGTCGGGCTCGCTGACTTGGTTGACATCGTCATCGTATCAGAATTGCGTAGATCGGTGCCCATGCTGTTGATCACTGGATTGTCTGGTCCAGACTCGATTATTTACAGACCGCCGCCATATAGCTTGAATATTGCTGCCTGCGGCGTAAAACTAAACTCACTCACACTCACTCAACTTGAGAGTGAACATTTATGGATGAAATACTGAGTATACTCTTAATCCTTAATCAGGTAACAATACACTCCAAAACATAGTCTTGCTATTACAGACGTTGACATCCATTCAAATGCCATTTTACATGCCATTCAAAGACCTTTCCTTCAACTTGTGTCTGAAGGAACACGAAAACCTCTGGGACATATCCGTCGATGCTAAGGTAAAGGTACTTGCTTTGGAAATCATGCAATCAACTATATAGTAACTTCTGTTCTGTATGTCTACCCCTGTGTGTATATATCGATTTCATTACACGTGCGTGTGTGTACATATATGTATGGGGCTTGACTTACTAACGCTTAAGACTCGTGACGGTCCGTGTTAGAATTGGTCTTCAGTATCCCATGCTCGTCTCCCGGTGAAGATCCGGGTTAGAATTGGTCTTCAGTAACCCATGCTCATCTCCCCGTGAAGATCCGGGTTAGAAGTCGTCTTCAGTAACCCATGCTCGTCTCCCGGTGAATATCCGGGTTAGAATTGGTCTTCAGTAACCCATAATCGTCTCCCGGTGAAGATCCGGGTTAGAATTGGTCTTCAGTATCCCATGCTCATCTCCCCGTGAATATCCGGGTTAGAATTGGTCTTCAGTAACCCATGCTCGTCTCCCGGTGATGATCCGGTTTAGAATTGGTCTTCAGTAACCCATGCTCGTCTCCACCTGAAGATCCGGCTTAGAATTGGTCTTCAGTATCCCTCAGAAGTCATTAACAACTGACAATATATTTATCTTTTTTATAATTGACAATTTTTATTTCCTGTTTCCCCTTTTACAATAAAAGGCAATAGAGTCAAGGGACTCTCGGGTCTTTTGCAAGTAAAACAAAGCACAAAACAACAACAACAACACAAGACCCCACGACACATTCACTCACCAATCACACTTACAAGTTTAAAACAATTACAGTAAGTTTGTTCAAGTTCAAGTTCATTCAGCCAATATCTTTTCTTCATTAGGGAACAAGTGCAAAGAAGAAAGAATTCAGAAGGTCATTTAAAATTTGCAAAATCATAATATAACATCCATTTTTATAAAACTTATCTTGTTGACTTTTACTGAAGGATATATTCTTTTCAATAAAAAAACTTTCTTGTAAATAATTTCTAAAATGTTTAAAACTAAGAGTAGTTTTTAATACCTTACATGTATATATGAAGAATTTAACTAACAACAATATTAGATAAAACACATCATCAATATATACATTTTTTTCTCATTCCAAACACAGTAAGTTGCAGGTCCAATTTCATGTTGTGAACATGTTGACATTTATCCTTCGATATTGACGATATTGATATGTTACTAAGTAGAAAATGTATGTGACACAATCAGGTGGGATATTGTTAATTGCATATTGATTGGACGCCAGATGTCGTGTATCAAAGCTGGGAACTAGTGATTCTGTTTGCACAATTAAGCTGTCCGTGGCAGCCTAAACTCGGAATCAAGATAATGTATTGGTTTAAGGTGGAAACTCAATGTTAATTGTCAATAATAGCCCAACAGGTGTCGTCATATACATAAAGAAGGTACCATGTTATAAACATGGGATTTAATGTTCGCACATTACTGAATGCGGTGTTTAACAACTGCCAAAACAGAAAATGCTGCATACAACGTGAAATATGTAATCCTAAACTACCCGGGCCCATATTTTCATGTTAGTTCCAATGTTATAACACATGTCGTTGTCCTTTTTTGAGAGAAAGGAGCCAAGTTGGGCCAATCATGAAAAATATTTACTTTTTCGCTATGGCTACAGTTTTGTTTGGATAAGCCAAGAGGTTGGGGATCCAGATTTTGTTTATGTCTTTGGTCCAAACCTGTTTTAATAAAGAACACTTTCTTGTGCTCGATAGTTCATGTCCGACTGAAGTACCTGTCATTCAGAGAGATGTAGTTATACCGTTGCCAATGGTAACGTGGGATGCTTCCGGATCAATAGATATCGACCTGCCACGATTGACAGCCTTGACTATCAACGCATAGAGAAAGCGCCTCGGGTATGTATGTTATCGTAGCTATTCTACACCTATGCCTAGCTGGTACCACACATCCTTTGCCATGTAACGTATAACGACGGCAGTGCGGGTCGTTTGCGTGTATATTTGTTGCAACAGCTATAGAATTATCATTGCGGCGTTTATTAACGTAGGGTGGACCTGCCACTGTAGTGGTCTCGACACGCTATATGGTCAATCAAATTAAAACGAGTTGTACATAAACAAATGCTCGAGAAATGGAACCATATTGCAACGTGGGGCTATTGTCTGTGAATTCTATACAAAACATAGAAAAATATGTTGGTGGGTTGTGATTCAAATCTATGTTAAAATTATTGACTATTTTACACAGATGCGCGATGGTATAAACTCATACAAATTGTACAGATAGTTTTGTCCAAAATCCCATGCAAAG